TGGAAGGTGCCTGGACGCGCCTGGAGCCTGGAATCCTGCCCGGCTGCGCCCCGGGGACCGCGCTGATGGAGGGATCATGTTAAGGGAATCGAGGTTTGAAGGTGATTTGAAAGCCGATCGGCTGCCACAGCTCCTCGCTCCCGGCGGCAGCGGCTCCGTCAGGCATCGCTGGGATGGGAACGGCCCCGCTGCCCCTTCAGACAAAGGATGGAAGGTGCCTGGACGCGCCTGGAGCCTGGAATGCTGCCCGGGACCCTTTGTGTAAGGAAACCGCTTTCAGCTCACTCCCAGGGCAAGAAATCTCCACCTGCAAGTCAGAGAGAGAGGCACACTCAGGAAAGCGCTCCAGGATGGTGGCCCTGCCCCTGCAGGCGGTGAGGAAGGCCACCTGTGGTCTTCATCACCTTCCAGCCCCGGGGAGGGGCAGCTCCACCTCTCCCAGGTGGGTAACTGGGTGCAGTAGGAGCGACGCTGGTGGGGTGAGCCCAAATCCCAGAGCCTGCACATCTCTGCCTTATCATACAGGACAGGTGCTCCAGGATGGCTCTGGGATGTGGAAAATTTCCAGTTTCACCCCCAGGAGGATGAGCTGTGCACACACACACTGCACCCCGAGATCCAAACATCTCTGCAGCAGCAGATCCCAGGTGAAATCCATGCACGGGCAGGGCATGGATACCCCAGTCAATATTCCAGCATCCCACAGGGTCAGGAGCACGACATCCCTGGGTGTCCCTCCAGCTCCTCACATCCCCAGGGACGGGAGATTGCCATGACATCCTCTATCCTCCAGCCAGGAGCATTCCCTGGTGGCATTCCCACCCTGCCACCAGGATGGTGCTGTGCCAGGAGCACCAGGACCATCCCTGGTCCTTCTTGGCACAGGAAGGGCAGAGATGGGACAGTCCCCTCCAGCCCCACCAGGATGGATTTCCCTGTAAATCCAGCTGGATTTCTCTCCTTCCAGCCCCCCCAGCTATGGGAGATTTGCTCCAGCCCTTCCTGGGGAAAATGCCACGTGGAAAATGCCACGTGGAAAATGCCCCTGCTGACACATCCCAGTGCCCGGGGTGTGCTGCCTGTCACGGCCTCCTCTTATTTTAGGAAAGGAGACGGAAATAAATGGCAAGACAAAGTGCCATTAGTTTAATGGCCTCTATGTTCCTGCCATCTGTCTTCAGTTGATTAAATAAAAAATATTGGTGGAACATATGGCATGAATTATACATCAATATTTTAATTTGGTTTCCCAGAGTGGTTATTCAGATACCTCCGGCTCTGCCGCGGGAATTTTGTGCAGCTCAGGGCTGGAGAGGCTGGGGCAGAGCAGTGGAGGGGCACAAACCCAAACAGAGCTGGAGTAAAGGCTGAGTAACCTCGGAGTAGCAGCGGTTTGGGTTTTCCATGTGCAGGATGTGGCACCACCATGGCCATGGTGGGAGAGCAGCTCCCAGCCCGGTGGTCTTGGGGGGATTTTGCTGCTCTCCTGCACTCCCTGACCAGGAATTCTGGCTCTCCCTTACCCAGAACAAATCCACCTTGCTGGGATTGGGATGGGAGCTGGATTCGGGGTGGTTTGGGGAGCAAAGGGAGCGTCCCCAGGGCTGTCCCTGCTCCCCAGTGTCCCCAGTGCCACCTCCCTGCCCTCCTCCCCTCCCCGACAGGGCGCTGCCAGGCTCTGGCACAGAATATAAAGAAGGGGCTTAAATTACTCTCATTAAGCCATCTGGAGCTCATCCTTCTCCATCATGAACTGCGGAGTCACAGGTCAATTACTGCGCATTTGCATATATTCCATTAATGCTTCTGCTAATTGTCTGGAGCGGATAATGGGCTCGGGCTCCGGGCTGCCGGGGGCGGCACCAGTGCTCCCAGTACAGACACCAGTGCTCCCAGTATCAGCTGGGGCTATCGGGAGCTGAGGGATGCAGGAACCATCCCAGAGCGCCGTTCCCTGCATCCCGGGTTTTAAGGATGGATCCACCCCGTGCAGCAGCGCTGGGGTGAAGGAGCGGCCACCGCTGGTCCCCAAGGCCACTGTCACCGCCACGGTGTCCCCAGGGGTCCCATCGTGTCCCCGACCCCGCTGTGTGAACCCTGCCGTGCTCGGTGCCAGCCCAGCCCGCGGCGTGGCCGGGGGACAGCGGTGACACACTTTGTCATCCAGGCTAATGAAGCAAACGGGGACAGTCCCCAGCCAGCGCAATGCAGCGGCCTCAGCCTGGCCTTCCCGCGGCTGCCTGGATGGAAAACTGCTGGGGCAGCAGGGAACAGAGGGAATTATCCAGCAGGGAATGATCTGTCAGCCCTCGCTCGGGTAGGACCCGCTGTGATCCAGCCCCTGCTTCTTCCCAGGGGAGGGATGCAGCCCTGGGAGATGCAGTGTAGGAAAATCCCCCAAATCCCAACCAGCTGGCAGTGCCAGGGTTGGGGAATCCCTCCCTGCCCCCCCCAGAGCCAAAGCACAGTGGTTTCCCAGGATGTGGGGCCAGCAGGGATCAGGGAATGATTCCCTGCCTACATCCATCACCACACTCACTCCAGGAGCCAAAATCCTCATCCATCAATGGGACACCTGGTTCTGCCTCAGAATAATCCCACCAGCAGCCGAAATCCTCATCCCAGCACTGAGATACCCAGCTCTGCCTCAGTAAAATCCCATCCGGAGCCAAAATCCTCATCCATGAATGGCACACCCATTCTGCCTCAGAATAATCCCACCAGCAGCCAAAATCCTCATCCATGAATGGCACACCCATTCTGCCTCAGAATAATCCCACCAGCAGCCAAAATCCTCATCCATCAATGGGACACCCAACTCTGCCTCTTTATAATACCACCAGGACCCAAAATCCTCATCCCAGCCCGGGATACCCAGCTCAGCATCACTCCACACCCAACCCACCTCCCTGAGCAGTGTCAGCTGTCCCCAGGATGAGGAATCCTCCATAATTTACCAGCTTTTCCCAAGTTTATCCATCCCTCTGCGCCTGGAGAGGTGGGAACAAGTCCGGGAGCGGCCGGAGCAGGACGAGTGAAGGGCCCATCAATTATGGATTTGGGGCTTGTCTTCAAATTGCCCTGCAATTATTGAGCGCCAAGGTTCACTGGTCTTCAGGCACCACCTCCCAAACACCCTCACGTGGCTCCGCCAGCCAGGGAGAACAAAGGGCCCATTAAAACCAGCAAATTAACCACCAGCAGAATTCCATTAGGAGGAGGAGAAGGCCACGGGAATATCCAGTTTCACCCCCTCATTAACATTTCTTATCACAGGGACGGCGAGAGAATAGGGCTGGCAAGCGGAGGGGCGGTGACATCAGCGGGGTGACCCCACGGGAGGGCTGTGACGCAGGGACTGACCCGGTCCCACGCCATGGGGACGTGGGGACAGCAGGTTCTGGGCACCCTGGGAGTGCTGGAATGCCTGTGCCAAGCCTGGAAATGCAGTGAAGGATGAGGGAAAAGAGCCCAATCCATGGGGTGCAGGATTTATGGGACACAGGACCCAGGGCATGGATGTTCCCTGGACTTGCTGTCACCAAAAGCCACCCACTTGGGTGCAGGGACCACCAGAAATTCCCATGTCCCTCCATCCCAGAGCAGTTCTTGCAGCTCCATATCATCCCCAGCACCAAACAGTGACACCAGCACAAACCCCAGTGACACCAGCACAAACCCCAGTGACATTGGGCACCCTGGGCACTGCCATCCCTCAAACCTTCAGCCTTCATCCCCCAGTGCCAGCCTGGAATTGCTGCCCTGGCAGAGTCTGGGCAGCCCAAATTCCAGGTGGAGTTGCCCATCCTCTTTTCCAGCCCAGTGGAAATGGATTTTCGCCCTTTTCCACTCGTTAAGGAAGCAGCAAATGGGATGCACGGGGCTGAATTTAAACCCCGTAGTGGCTGGGAATGAAGCTGAGATAAACCAGGATTATTTCAGCCCAGCAGGGGCAGACCTGGAGCATCCAGAACCTTCCAGTGCCTCTCCTAGGGGCCAGCCGAGCACAGGGAGCTGTCAGTCCCCCTCAAATCAAAGCCAAGTTTATTTATTCTGCTTCTCTCTGCCTTCGTTTTGCTGAGAAATGGATTTGTGCCTCCTCTCCTCTGGGGAAAGCCTTAAAAGCAGCTGAGTCAGCAACTCCCAGACTCATCCCAGGATCAGATCCTCATCCTCAAGGGTGAGACACATCCCAGGCCTGGGCTTCCCTGTGGAGCCACCAAATCCCCTCCCCAGGCCAAACCAGCCAGGGATGCAAAGGGAAAACCTCTCCTTAGGGAATTACTGGCTCAATTTGAAGATCCAGGGCAGGATTTGCCCATCTGCTGGCGGATTTTTGTGGGGGATTTCCATTTTGTGGGGTTTGCAAATCCTCCTCCTTGCTGGGAGTCCAAGGAGGAGTTTGGACTGGAATTAAGGAGCTGGTTTTGTTTATGGATATAAAACTGATTTTTAAATATTCTGGGGATTTATTGGTGGCCTCAGCACTTTCCCAGGGCATGAGGCACCAAGATCCAGAGGGATCCAGATCCAGGAGGATCCAGGATCCATTCGGGGCTGCCCCAGACTAATTGATTAAGGTCTCCTCTAAAAGGCTCCTCTGAAATGAGGTCGTGCTAATTGCACAAGCTCTTCTCAGTGCTCCCTGTGCTCTCCAGAGGACAGAGCCCACAGGGCACCAGCCCCGTTTCTGCCAGGGCTGAGCTATAAATAACCCCAGGAACACCAGGATGGATCCTGCCCTGGCTTATTCCACTCACTGGACAGAGCTGCACGAGCCCAGGGCCTGCAGCCTGGCCCAGAAAGGCAATTCTGTTTAATCAAGTTATTTAAGGAAGTTTAACCCCATTTTTAATTATGACATTGAGCTGCCTGGCATTGCAAATTCCCAGAGCTTGACCCAAGGGATGCTGATTCCTGCCTGGAGGATGCTGATTCCTGCCCAAGGGATGCCAATTCCTGCCCAAGGGATGCTGATCTCCACCCTGAGGATGCCGATTCCTGCCCAAACCCCACATCCATGGGCCGGCACAGGGTGGGATCACCATGATGATTGTGGGAATTTGCTGTAGGACAGCTGAGAGACTCCCAAAACCAATCCGAGCTGGGATGAGCAGGCTGCTCCAGCCCCCAAAAGCAAAGAAATGTTGTTGCCTCCAGGCCACTAATTCCCAGGTAATCCCATCTCCATGGCTCGGCTCCTTTTCCTGAGTATTCTCCTCCACAATGGCCCAAGTGGAGCTGAAAATGGGGAGTTTTTTACTTCACATTCTGCTCCTCCACCCACAATTCCATCAAAGCCCGTTCCAGGTTCTTGGAGGCTGAATTCCCCTCACAAGTGTGAAAAGCAGCTCATAAAGAAAAATGGTTTAAGACATGAATCATTTTAAAAAGCACCCGGCGCTGCCGAAGGCAGGAAAGGAAATAAGGGAGGAAATCGCCGTGGATTGCAGAGATTTGGGCAGGGAGAGGGGCCAGGGAACTGTGGGATGATGGAAATGAGGTGGCACAGCCGGGATCCAGCTGTGGGACTCGCTGTTCCCCTGCCAGCGTCGTTATGATTTTCATTAATTAATTAATCTGCAGCAGCCCCTGGGGTCTGGGTGATCCAGTTCTCTCCAGCAGCGTTATCCCATCTGCCCGGGGCGTTTGGGGTGCGGCTGTGGAAGGAGCGGGAAGCTGCATCCTTTGGGATCAGGGTCATTAAATTTGGGTGCGGGATCCCAGCCTTCCCCATCACATCCCTGCCAGCTTCCAGCATCCCTCCCTGAGCATTCCTGCCCCTTTATCAGCCCCATCCCTGCGTCCAAGGCTGAGAAACCTCCATTTCCCCTTTAATTCCCTATTTTTGGGTGGTGTTTTGGAGAGGCCACCCCAAATTGCGGGGTCTCAGTGACACCCAGGGATGCTCTCAGCCTCCCTCTCCCGTTCCTTCCCACCCTCCCGACACTCAAGCCCTCGGAAAAGGTGATGTAATTCCTTCGGAGGACGCTGAGTGTCTGTGACAGGCTTTAACCCGAGCAGTTTTCACGTCTCACGGTCGGGGGGTTTCATGCCCAGCCTGCAAAAATCCAGGCACGGTTTCCAGTCAGGCTTGGGGAGCCGGGATGTGCATCCCAGGGAGGAGGAGGAGGGGGGCGGGAGGAAGGCCGGGGCTGTTCCCTAGGGAAGCACAGCTGGATCCCAGCCAGCTGCTGGCTCAGCAAAGCTCCCCCCAGACGGAGCTGCCTGAATCCCGGAGGAGAAGGAGGTTTGGGACACACGGGATGGACTTTTCCAGAGGCAGCGCCGGGGCTGGAGCCATCCCCGAGGGATGCAGGGCCCTCCCTGTGCTGCTCATCCTCCCCAAATCCTCTGGGCTCTCCATCCATGACACCTGCACGTCCCTGTGGCTGTGGGAGAGCATTCCTGAGCCGCAGCTGCTGGCACATCCCGAGCTGGCAGCTCCTGATTCCAGGGAAAGCCAGGACGCTGCTGTTCCCCTCCTTGCGCTTAACGAGGAGGAGCAAACCCCGCAGCAGCCAAAGGGTTTCATCCCGAGGTTTGGAGCACCAGAACCCAGGTGCTCCCCAGGATTCATGTGGAGATGATGAGAAACACCAAAAGGAGATGGAAATCCAGGTGCACCCAGCTGGACATGCCTAAATCCCATCCCTGTGGGATCCACGGGGAGCACCGGGGGGGATTTGGGAAGTGTGATCCCTCATGGATGTGACAGAAAGCTCTTCCCATGGGAGCACCCAGCACATCCAGCCCAGGATGGAGCCCCCAAGGGCTCCCCAGGTAGGGAAGAGCAGAATCCAACCTCCCCACAAATCCCACGCTCAGGTCTGCTCCATGGAGATTTGCCTCAACCCTCGTTAATCTGGGATTACAGCAGCACTGGGGCAATTAACTAACGAGCTTTTGCAGCAGCAGACAATGCCTTGCACAGCCCACAGACGTTAATGGAGTGAGAAGGAGGATTTCGTGCAACACTTCCCTCAAAACCTCCTTCCCCAGGAGAGCCTAGTCCTCTCTTTCCCCTCATCCAGGCAGGGATCGCCATTCCCATCCATGGATGCTGCAGGCTCATCCCTCAGCACCTCCTGTCCCACACTCCCTCCCCAGCTCCAGAGAGAGCCAACTCATTGGGAAGGACAAATTCCCACCCCAGAGCTGCCTGCTCTGCTCAGCGAGTCCCTGCTGGTCCAAGGGGGCTGGGAAAAGAAGATTTTCCCAGGATTTGGACTGAGCTGGGAATGGTGCTGAACACTCCTGGATCCTGCCTCAGCCATGGGAATTGTGGCTCTGGATGGGAGCCTGGAGCTGCTGAGGCTTGGCACAGCTTTCCATGGGGAAAAGATCCCCCAGGAAGAAGGGAGTATTTTTCTGGGAGACAAAATCCATCCCCAAATGCTCCTGTGGGAGGTTCCCATCTGCCAGGATCCCAAACATCAAGGACCCTAAAACACAGGGACATTCACATGGATGAGCCCCACTGGACCCAGGCACCTGCAGCCCTGATGCTGCAGCTGGATTTGGGTTTTTGAGTATCAGGATTTGGGAAAGGGATCCCAAAAACCAGAGCAAAACCCCCTGGGGAATTCTCCCTGGGCCTAATAACTGCTAGTAATATGTGGAATATTATAATATAATGTATATAAAAACCATGGTAGGGGCTAATAATATATTATAATAGAATATAATAGAACAATAAATATAAAACCATAGCGTCTGCTAATAATATATAAAATAGATGTAATACAATCTATATAAAACCACAATAATTGCTAATAATATACATAATATAATAATATACATTAAAAAAATCTAACAATTGCTAACAAATCCTGTCTTGGAGGAGCCCCTGGAGCTCAACAGCTTTGGATATTCCAAAGGAGAGCTCTTTGCCAAGCCTAGGGAAGGGACAGCCCCCTATGAAGGATAATTCCCAGCTAAATTCCCAGAGGAAGGAAGGATGCAGCACTCACCAGATGAGCAGGTGCAGTGGGCCGGGGCCAGGCTGTGTGGGAGCACCCCGGGGCTGTAATTCCCAGGGCCAGGCTGGGATTCCCAGCTCTGGATTGCCAGCAAAGTTTCTTTAATCCTGCCTTGACGGAGGCCGGGGTTTACAGGGCTCAGCTCAAGGTTACCTTCACGCCGTTCTGCAACTGCCTCTGCTCTCCCGGCTCATCTCTATGTTAAATTATTCCCCCAAGTTGCCAGCATGGATGTGGGAAGAGGAAAATAAACAGGGGAGAGGCTTCTGGCAGGATTACGTTCCCTTATGTTCCTTATTTCCCCGGCGGAGATGTTCCTGCACAAAGTCTGGGAAGGAGGATGAGGATGAGGAGAGCTCCCTCCTGCCTGGCTCCCTCAGCGAAGCAAAACCCTTCCCAAACCAGCGGAAACCAGCGAAAAATCCGTGCCGGGATGAGGCGGGAACCATCAGCTCCCGCAGAGCCGGGGGGGACCCGGTGCCCCCCAAATTCCCGCACCCGCAGCCGCCGCTTCCCAAACGCAATTCCCGGCGGGCCGGGCTCCTGCCGACCCCCGCTCGCCGAGCTCCCCGGTCCTTTTAAAAATTTTATTTTGCGCAGGAGGGCTGGGGAGTGGGGGTGGTGTTGTTTGTTTTCTCCTCTTATTTTTTGGTTGTTAATTTGGGCTTTTTGGTTTTTTGCTTTTTTTTTCCCCTTTAGCCCCAATTTCAATGCTCTCCCCGCACCGGCAGCTCCTCTGCCCCCTCCCCCGATCCCTTCTTCCTCCCCCGAGCGGTTTTTCCTCGCCCGCCTCCTCCTCCTCACC